ATTTGCCACATAAAGCCTGCATTTAAAAAAAAAGTATTAGGTTAAGGTTGTCATAATTTAAGTTCCCATTACCTTAAAATGCTACAAGCTCATTACACTGAAAAAAAACTTGAGCGAGAATTAGTTTTCACAAAAATAGGTGGGTACAGCATCGGAACAAGTTATATGAGAAATGACCAAGTGGTGAAATTAAAAAAAAACATTTTTTTAAAAATTTAAATAATCTTTAAACTGATTTAAACGTTTTGCCCATATATTCAAACGTTTTAACGTTTTTACTTTGCTCTTAAATTCTTAGTTAAATCATAAATAACTAAAATAACACAAAGAAAAGTCGGATATTTATTTAGATTTAGATTTATTATATATTTATTTAAATTTGCATTAATTTTCATTTTATTAAGGAATATTGTTTTGTTTTTAAGTTTTTATTAATTGTTTTTGTATTCGTTTTTAGAATTTTACTTTATTTTAAATTAAGCCTGTATTGCTGCCAGACAGGCCCATGTGCAGGATTTTCTCATTAAATTGTTAAACATAGGGACAGTTATTGGACACTTAAAGAATATTATTTATTTAAAATTTATTTATGCCGTTGTTTTAAAGATTTTAGTTTTTTTCTTAAAAATATATAAAAAGGATAGTAATTACACATTTTATATAGTAATTGGACACATGGACCATAGTTATTGGACATCAAATTTTTATATAAACATAATAACTTTACATAAAATAACATACATTGTTAAATATTTTTTAAAGATAAACCTTCTGTTTTAGGTAATTTTTTTTATTTCGTTTTTGTATATATCATATAATTCATATATTTCTTTCTCGGATTCCTCATCCCTTTTCTGGATTCTGAAGGTAACTATAGTTACTAATAGTTTACTAATTCCTTGGTCTGACTTCTGAAATAGTTTGTTGCAAATATCAGCAAATAGCATTTATAATGTTTAGGATAATAAATCCAATAATAGAAATTCACATTTTTTACCAACCAGTAATTGGACACTGGCAATTTTACTGTATGTTTTCAGAATTAAAATTAAAACGCATTAATGTGACAATGTTTAAACCATGAGGAACACATTTATACCACACACTGATCTGTACACTTTTTGGAAATATTTTTTATTGTAATTTAAACACAGCCCTGCTTTTAACATAAAACAAAAATCTTACCACCAAAGTAACGTGCGAACTTGTTTATAATTGTATAGCGTCATCTAATTATTTGACTTTAAGGTAACTATTTATAGAACTCTTGTTTTTACAGTATTAATTTTAATTGTCTAATATCTATAGTGTCCGATAACTGTCTACTTTACATTTAAAATAATAGGTCATCAAAAATAAAATAAAAAAATCGTGTTCATGGCACCCAAAAAATTTGAAAAATGCGAAAAAAATTGGAGGTCAGCCAATGAATGTTTTTGCCAATAGCCAATTTTCTGTTTTTTGATAAAATTGAAAAATCCTCTTGGTTCTGTTTTCATTCAAACTGAAGTTTTTGATTGTCCTGAACACTAGGGTGGGTTGAAAACAAAATATTTGTGTGTTTTTCTTAGCATGGGGGTAGAAAATTAAAAAAAAAATTTACTCAACATCTTGAGGTGGCCCACTCGTTTTTGATTAAATATTTATTTTAAAAACGAGTGGGCCATCTCAAGATGTTGAGGAAAAAAAATTTTTTTTTTAATTTTCTGTTTTTATATAGTACAAATTCTACCCCCACGCTAAGAAAAAAAACAACCATTTTGTTTTCAACCCACCCTACTGAACACAAAAAAAAATATCACAGCTATGTTGGAAAATCTGTTTTTTTAATAATAGATGTCTCTGAAGTTAGCAGTACTAATTAATGGTTGTTTACTTGTTTATTTTAGTGGTTATTCGTTTTGTTACGATTTTCTTTGGGTAAATTTTGAGTAGTATAATATATTTTTTTGAGACTTTAAAACCTGTAAATCCACTAAGCACGGATGCCGGTATACATTTTACATAATGTTATATTAATATGTACATATTATTATATTATATATTTAAATTATTAAATGCAAATAAAATGTTCAATTAATTATATTGTATTTTATTTTAGGACTTAAATAATATAGGTACCCACTTCTTATTGTATCATGCTAGATTTTATACCATGAAAAACCCACGTGAAAAACTGAAAACGCGTTAAAAATATAAAAACCTTTATTTTTTCATTCAAAATATAAACTTGATACAACAAATTATGGAGTAATTATTAAAAATTCTCCATCTTTCACAATCTTTGTCCGACCCCCGTATAATTTTGTTAGTAAGTAAGTTAAACAATGTAATGGCTTTATTTTTTTTGTTGCGTATAAGTAAATACATTTACATGTAATGATGTAGATGCGGAGATGAAAGAAATAATGGTTTATGCAATGGTAGAAGAAGATTCAAATACATCAATTCCTAAAATAGCCGAAGAGACCGGCATTAGTGTGGGTAAGGTCCACAAAATATTATTATCGTTCCTACAAATACCAGTAAGTATACTTCAGGAAATTTTTCAAGACGACGAGTACCGGAGAATGGAATTTTGTAAAAATATAATGGAACCCGCAAATGAAGATAAACATTTAATTGAAAACATAGTATTTACCGACGAATCCACATTTCCATTACATGGAAAGCACAATCCTGCTATTGTCCGGTACTGGTCTATTGAAAATGAGTACAGGCAACTAAACTTAAAGACTTAGTATCCTGAAAAGTTGAACTTGTGGTCTGGTATTTATGGGAATAATATTATTGGTCCCTTTGTAATTGGTGGCAATTTAAATGGAGCGAGATATTTGTATCTTCTTCAAAATAGAATTATTCCTGCAATCCAAAACATAACCCAAAATTTGGATAACGTATCAACCTTAATATTCAACAAAAAATCTTCTCTTTCATATCCATGATCAGAATTTCCACTTTCTTGATCACTATCATGGATAACTAAATACCATTTTTTTATACCTCAATTAGGATTAAATTAACTAATTGGCAAAATAATGTTTTTTTTTACCTTAAACGAGGTATTTTTATTAAAAATAGTACAATAATCCTTTAAATTAAATGCTGGCAGGTAAAAAGTGACCATGGTGCGCAATTGATAATTATAACCGAATGAAATAATGTATAAAACTTAAACCAAAAGAAACTTAAATACCTATTAGTTAAAATCGTGGGTACTTAAAAAAATCAGATTTAATTTTATAAGATAATTACTACCAAAAAAGTGATATTTTTATAGAAAATTTATTGCAGAATTGTATAAGAAGAAAAATCGAACAAAATTGATTTTTTTTTCATTACAAATATGAAAAAATGTTTTAGACAAAATCTACCTATTTTTAGTCGAAAGATCCGAATCTGCAATAAAAAAATAGGGTGTTCCATTCGAAAAGTTGCCTCCTATAAGAAGGAGAGTATGAGGACCAATTTTAGTACTGATTGATTTCCCCCCTCGAATCATTTAATTTTTATTCTAAACATTTGTTCGTAAAATGCATACTAACTGAGATATTTCAAAGTTTCAAGTTAAATGACTCACCCTGTATAATCCGAATAAAAAGAGCTCATCAGTATTTTCATTTATAATGAAAAGATATCATTGTAATAGTAATTATGATTGAAAATTGAATTAAAATTTTACTAATTAATCACTAAATAGCTATTTATTTACAATATCATACATATTTAAATAATAGTATATTTTGTATCAAGTTTGATAAACGCCATTTTATACACAAATTTAATTTAGGCACGAGCGAGCTTGCGAGCGAGTGCTTAAATTAATTAGTGTATAGAAAAGTTTATAAACGAGGTGCATACTATAAAAATGATTTAAATCAAAAATTTGTATAGAGCGCCATCTATGAAACAATAGGGGAATCTATGTGTCACCGTCAAATGTCAAATTTTAATATTATAAAGGTTATAAATCGAAATGTATTTCTTGAAAATTGAGTGAAAGTAAAGAAAATGTTTTATGACACTTTACATTAAAGTCCGTGCCCGAATTTAAGTTATAATTTACTGCCGGCAAAATTAAAAGGTCAGTACAATGTTCATATAAACTTTTTAAATATTGGCGTTGAGAAACTATTTAATACTTTTGTATTGAGATAATAAAATAATTTTCAGATTTATTTTACAAGAAAGGCACTTTATTTTAACGATTGTATGACATTTGACAACTGTCAACTAACTTAAAACTAACTTCAGCCCGTGACTAAAAATCTGTTGCTAACTTCAGCCCGTGACTAAAGCGTCATAAAGCCACAACTTGTCAATGTGCATTTAAAAGGTCACTTAGTGTCATGGAAACATGTACGATAAAGGGCGTTTTAAAGGTGGGAGTAGAAAAAATAATTAAAATGGTTAAAAAAAAATTGAGGAGGCTAAGCCTCCCTTGACTAGCCAATTAAAAGTTCAAAGCAGTTTTCCCAGGGTAGTCTTACAAGATGTTATGTTAATTAACATTGTGTGGTGTTTTATTTAAAACATGGAAACAGAAACAAGAAAATAAATCAATGTGGATTAGCTTTTTTTTAATGACACAAGCGTCGGGAAATGTACTGGACTTTTTTCCTGTCAATAGAAACCCTGTTTGTAAATACAAAGTCTAATTTTCTAAATAAATAATGGAATTTATGACCTTAAAATTTTAAATTATAAACAACCTGATAAATAAAAATGCAATATACAAATTATACAAAAATGCATTGTTACGCTGTTGTTTACAAAAATACATCCTAACTTTGACAAAAAGATATTCAAACATACCCACCCTTAATTTTAGATCCAAAATCCATGATAGTGATCAAGAAAGTGGCAATTCTGATCATGGATATAAAGGAGAAGATTTTTCGTTGAGTATTAAGGAAGAAGGAAGGGACATTGACTTTTCTGAAGAAGATGATACAAATTCCTCTCACAATGAAGACGAAGAAAGAGATGAGGATGAAGCCATGTTTGAGACAAAAATGGAGGTGGAATATCATGAGGTTCAATATGATGATATAAAGGCACATGAATCAGGGTGAGTTCTAATTTGTTATTGATTTTAGAACCGTCTTTGTATTACGGAAGCAAACTTCTAATGATTTTAGACCCCCCCTGTATAATCTAAAATAAGAAAATCTCGAACGTCCCCTCCCCCAAATGATGAGACGTAAAAAATGTTTTCAAAATTCTAATTTAAAAAACTGAATTACTTTTAGGATAAAAGTAGTTTTTTATAAAATCATAATATTAACGATAATTTATTGTTCACTGTACATTGTATCCAAGATTCAACATATACTTGTAATAATATTTCTGTTGACTAATACTTTTTTTATAAATTTATTTGTATTCAATAATACATTTTATTTATATTTTCACCCCAACTTATAAATTATCTTAATCAATATCCATATCCATATCAATATAATAAATACGCATTCATGTTTCCATCTATATTACAATTATTATTATCTTCTAATTTTACAAAAACCTATTCACGTATTTCAAAGGTTTAACTAGTTTCTGTGTGGAAATGTAAAACTAAATGTTTTTGTAGGACCGACAGTGAAATAATGGCGAAAATAGTCCTCCCAAAAGCAGAAAAAGGTAAAGTGTTTTTTTTTTAATTTAAATTTTTCTACAATCCTTAACATACAAACATGGAGACAACAAAAAAAAAAATAAAAATTGACACCATATTTTTGTATTTTGAAAGTTTTGACTAAAGGTACCTTATCTTCCGAATATACATCATACTAAGAAAAGTATTTATTAACATTTTTTCTTATAAGCCAAGTATACAATGCGCTTGACTTGCTTTCATTGTTGCCACTGTTCGTTTTATTTTAATAGTTTCTTTTTATATACGATTTTCTCAGCTGACCAATTAGATCACAGCTGACCGTCATGTGATTGTATTTTCCCGCGTTTTCTAGATAGCTCTAGGTCAGTACGTACCCAGTGTTGCCGTTTGCGGATATTTTACTCGAAAATCGGGTATTTTGAATTTTGAAGCGGGTTAAATTTGGGAGGTTTGCAAATTTTGATCAAAATACTAACTAAAGAAATTTTCAGTAAATAATGTTGTTTAGGTACTAAATATGCATAGTTATTTTATTCTATTACATGTTGACTTATACAAACATTTTAAATTAATTTAATTCATTTTTTAAAAGCGAGTTAAATGCGAAAAATTACACTGATAGTTTTAGAAACTTTTTTTCCTAACATTGAGTACTCCAGCTTAGTTTAACTAATTTTGGGCCGCTGATTTCAAAAATGTAATTTGTTTTTCTCTAGGACTTCTAGGATTTAAAATAATTTTGTAATAAAATTCTCTGCTCAATCACCTTAAAATGTAAGTTTTTTTTGTTAGTATTTTAATTATTTATTAAATTATTTTGGCTTAAATTTATCTTGAATGTACTGAAGTAATTGGTATACGGCAAATAGATCATAATTTATCTTAACAATATGACATTTTAAATACTAAAACTAAAATTTTAATGCATTTTATGTAAAAAACAACCACTATTTGACATTTTTTGTCGTTTATTTTAATAATTGAATTGAAAGGGCAACAAAGTAAACAAGTTTCGGTAATTTTTAACCAAATTAAACCCACAAAATTGAATGCATTGCATAATTTTGCTTTTTTCTACCTTAAATTTATTAAATCGTATCAAATATCGAATTGAATTATAGTATTATTGTGCTTAATCCTAATCATCGTCGTACATCTTTTGCTGCGAATTCCAGCAAATGTATCCTAGCAATAAACCCAACTTCTTTTCGCTATACCCATAGATATCCCAATGCTCTAGATTTGCAGTTACTTGGTGAAATCGTTCTCCATGTTCATCAATTCGGCAAATTTATCAGGATAAAAAAAAAGAAAATATATTTTAAATTACATATTAAGGCTAATTCTTTGCAAAACGGAGAGCATTTTTTTAATGAATTGGCGCCAATTTTAGGCCCGATATGAACCAAGAACATTTTCATTGCCATATGCGACAAGCTCGTCAACTTTGAGAGCATTTTTGAATGCTTGATCTTTCATTAAAAGTCGTATATCCGGTCCATTTAATATTCCTGCAAAATTAAAGTAGTAGGTATATCTCATACAATTTTGTAATGAAATATTGCGTTGGTTTTTTTGGGCGTAAAGGTATCGCAACAAAAACAAAACATATTTACAACGACGACATAAAGGTTCGCCTCCTTTCCCTTTTTTTGCCACTTCCATTTCCTGTTCATTTTTGGTTCCTAAAATCACTTTCAAGTAAAAATACAATTTAAACTTTAAATTTTAAATGCACTTAGATGCACTTTGATGTGCTTGAACGATAAAGTAGATAAAGGCGCCTTTATACTTCAATTCGACATTAAATTTTGATAAGACTTAATAAATAAGATTGGAGATTGAATTTTTTGGTACTTTAGGCGTAATGTGAATAAAAAAATATCAAATAATAGTCGAAGAGTAATGTTTATACCGAAACCCATTTACTTTATTGCCTTTTCAATTTAATTAGTAATTAAAAAAACAACACAAAAATTTCAAAAAATGATACTTTTTACCAAAAAACATTATAATTTTAGTTTTGGTACTTACACACTTTTCTGTGGGTTATAAAATAACCTTAAAATTGACATTTGACAGCCCTGATAGAATAAGGTTTATTTTTTACAAAAGAGGAGTAAAATGATTGTTCTTACCACTTTGAGGTCTCTTTTAAGGCTTGCAAGTCTCTCTGTAAGAAACACAACGTTTAAAACCATTATTAATCTGTATCACCATTAAATGATCTACAGTGTTGCAGTGATTTTTAGTATTTTTAGTACGAGATCGAACAGTCCTTGTTGTGTGGATTGTGGAACATCCAAAATAATTTAATAAATACCTAATCAAAATATGAACGAAAAACTTACATTTTGAGATAATTGGGCAGAGCATTTTATTACGCAATTATTTCGAATCCTAGACGTCCTGGAGCAAAACGAGTGGCATTTTTGAAATCAGCAGCCCAAAATTAGGTAATATAGGTGGGCGTACCCAATGTTAGTAATTCGAACTATCATAGTGTAATTAACTGTTTTGTTAAATTAAAAAGCAAATAACAAAAATAAATTTAAAGAATATAATGAGTATGGGTTTGAGTATAAGAGACGTATAACCAGCCCCATTGCCTCATCACTCCCGGACCCCGTACAGGCCTATGTTCAGGCCCGTTCCTGGCGAGCGTGCAGTGCGTGCACGCACGCAGGCGCAACATTTCAGGGGCGCAAAATCAAAGAGTCAATCAGTACTTTGTAACGATAAACTTTCTTGCATATGATACTTAAACATACATTGGATAATTTTCTGCCTTTTTTTTGCGTCGGCCGCTTTTTTTTTCGGTCGCTATAAAACGCCTTTTGCAGCTTTGATATTGGCTGCTTATTTTGTTTTGATATGAGGATCAAAATAAAAGGAGAGAAATGGTCATATTATCTTTAGTATTTGTTTGATAGTTGCAGTTGACGGTAGAAAAGTTTAACAGTAGTAACTCTCTAAAATAGAATTAGTCAAAAATGACTAATTCAATTAGTCTAATTGCAATAGCTAAAAAGCAGCGACTAATAATTATTTTCAATAGCAATTTGTATCCCGGATATTTAGCAGTCAATCCTATGTAAAATTGTCCGCTGAATCTGAAAATTTCGTCAAAAGTTATAAAAGTTGAACGTTTTTGAGATTTAGTAAATTTTCCATATAATATGGTATTGACTATATCTTAAAAATTGCTTTACTTTTATAATTTTTGACGGAATTTTCAGATTCAGGGGACAATTTTACATAATAATAAGCTGTTAAATGCCCGGGATACAAATTGCTGTGGACTAAAGTTATTATTGACTGCTTTTTTACTTTGAAAACTAGTCATTTTTAGAGAGTACGTCACTAAAAACCAGTTGTAGTTATTATATTGTTTAGATTGATTTTTTTTTGTTTTCTTTAGAGTATTTTTATCACTGACTATTTCCCTCGTCTTAATTTCCACCAATCACAAACGCTCAATTTTGAACTACAAATGGTTTCTAGGTGGAAAAATTTCATGACAGCACCTGCCAGCAGTTTTTTCGAGTTTACCAGCGGCAAAACTTGACAGCTGTTGTCCAAAAATTGCAATTTATATTTTAATTGTTAACTGTTACTCATGAAATAGTCTTGTCAAATACCATTCGGGCGTCTAACTTTTCCTGTAAAAAAAATCGTTAAAACATAATGGTAAGTAATATATTTTAACAAAATGCATTCGTGCAGGTGCATAAAGCTTAATTTTCATGTATCCGTTTGTCCGTCAGTCCGTTCATCCGGGAGCGCTCTTATTGGTCCAATTATAATTCGAAAATTATGACATTTTATCGGTCCGTCAAGTTTTAACTTCATACGTCTGACAGAGAAAGGTTAAATAATTTTAACTCATCCGTCACTACACATCTGTTTTTGACGCCTAACGTTATTTTAAGAAAATTTATTATCAAATATTTTTATATTTTTTCAATAAGATTGTAAAAGGGAAATATAACGTTCGTTATGTGAATAATGTTTTACTGTTATGTTTTTATTTAATAGGAATAACGGAAAAAAAGAAAGAACAAACAAAAAAAAAATTAAAACAAGAACTAAAAGGACCTGCTTTTTTAAAACTATACATTTTAATGTATATTAGGGCTAGTATATTCTTTTTATAAGGTATATTTACCTACCTTTAAATTTATTAGACAGCTAACTGTTAAAGTTACAATTGTTGACATAATTGTAACTATGACAATTAAGCATTAGGTAAATTTTCTAAGTGAATATACTGACACTTAATTTCTATTTGTCGCAAAATCAATCCGTTAAACGTCATTAAAAAACGTATGCATGAAAATTAGAACATTTCTTATCGGACGATTTTATTGAAAAACTGACATACGGATGACGGACAAACGTATACATGAAAATTAAGCTTAAATCCTCGTGTTCGATTTGGATTTTTGTTGCCACCAGCACTCATGCTTCTTGTTAAAATATTACTTAGCAACGTGTTTTTTCGATTTATTTCGGAAAAAATAGATGCCCTTATGATATAACTTGTTTGTTTGGTAATTTAATAAATATTTTTAATACTTAATTTAAGCGTTTTTTTTACATTTTCAATTACATTTTGCCAGTTTGTCGCAAAATATATATTTTTTAAATTTTACGGCTTATTTTAATATTTAATGTATTATATTTAAATATAAAAAGGGCGCACCAACGAATGCTGCACGCAGGCGCCAGACACCCCAGGAACGGGCCTGCCTATGTTTACTTACGCCGATTTTTGTTCGCCCCCAGCAACTGCACGGCTTCACCCGTGTTTGCTGGGTGCGAATGTCCATTGCGTTCCGTACTGTCTCTTATTTGGGGCTCGAGAGCGACATGCGAATAGTTTTAATAGCCATTCTCGGGTTCGCCGAGCCGATGCTATATGCCTAGTAGGGTATAGAGGAGGAGGGTCGGGAGGGATAGACGTTTGTTGGTTTTTGGGGGACAATTACGCCGACTTAAAACTAAGTACGACGCGGAATCCCTCTAGACCAGTCGATTAGTATTACTCCAATCATTTGGGATTACTATTTGCAGTTGGGGAGTTGTTATTTCGCTGCAGGGGTGTAGTTTCCTAGTCGAGGTCTTCGTCTTGTTCGTTATTGTCATTGTCCGTATCCTGGTCAGATAGTTCCTGCACTTGGTAAAGTGTGTCAGTTGTTTTTTTTACATTTGGGATTAATGTTTGGAGTTTGGGAGTTGTTAGTTCGCTGGAGTTGGGCTAGTTTACTGGTCGTGGTCAACTTCTTCACCGTTATTGTATCTGTCGTGGGTATTAAACAGTTGGTGTGCATTGATACGATTTGACAGTTACCGGTGGGAGGTATTTTTGACTTCCTCTGTATACTAATGTAATTACCAATTCCATTAGAATTCGTTTTGTGCATTATCTGTGTTTATGTTTTCTTAATTGAATGTTTGTTTGGATTTGAAGAGTTTGTTAGTATAGTTTCGTTTAACGTTTTTTGTTGGGCCGTTTTCTTTAATTTATGGGTTTAGTCTTTGTCGTTTGTTATTGATAGATTTATTGCCTTAGTCAGCTTTCCTATGTCCGAGTTAAGAGTTGGGGCGGTATTATTTTATTTGTTGTTGTTTTGTTACTATTGTCTTAATGTTACTGGTGCCTTATGTTTATTTTATTTTTTTGTTATTTTTTTTTGGTTAGTTTTTCTCATGTTGAAGCGAAAAGGGTTTTCCAAGGTACCTGTCATGGTGGCAATTAATATTAGGTCAGGCAGATTTTAGGGTTACTTATCGAGAATTGCAAATTGGCCTTGGTCATCCTCTTTTGTTTGTCACGTGAAAAGCATCTAAATGCGTGGCTAGACCGCGGTCGACCACCCGTAAGGTGTCACTCTACACCTTCACTTTAACACATCCCTGACCTAAGGGTGGTCTACACACACTAGTTGCCACACTACAGACTATTTGCACTTTGTAGCAATCATTGCGAGCTTTGCTGTTTGTAAGTTTTAAGAGCGCGGCACAGCCAGATGCGACCTATACGAGAACTCGAACGTGACTAAATTTAAAGAATACAATGTTCTCAAAATAATGGTCAATATATTTTGTTTTTTCCAGCCAACATTATACAACCCCATGTGAAACCATCTGTCAAAATAGAGGAATTTAAAAACTTAAAAGCATGGACAAAAAAATCAGCATGTCCTTACTGTATGCAAGACGTCACACACTTTCCACGACACTTGCAGCGCAAGCATAATGAAGAAGGTGCCGTTAAAGAGCTATTTGCCATGCCCCTCAAAGACCCAAAGCGAAAATGTATGTTAAATGCCATACGTCGGGAAGGAAATTTTGCGACCACTTCAAATACAAATTTCATCCGTCCGATTAGAAGGCCCAAGTCTGTTTCCTGCAGTGGACCTGCAGAAAACTTAAAAAATTTGAAGGAAGAATACGTGGCGTGTAAAGATTGTCTGGGTTACTTCAAAAGAAATTATTTAAGGCTCCATCGCAGGAAATGTGCATTAAGGTCCAGTTTAGAGTTATCAGAACGAGAACAACATCTCTCAACAGCTCAGCTGTTTGCAATATGCTCTGGAGTACACCACCAATTCTATGCGACCCTACGATTGAAAAATGAAGTATTTCCCATAATGCGGAACGATGCAATTTCCAGTCAGGCAATGTACGATAAACTGGTTTGTTGTTATGCGGAAAATTTATTAAAGCACAAAGGAACACAAATTAAAAATGTCATATCCAACAAGATGAGGGAATTGGGGCGTTTATTGCTGTGCTTAAAAAATTTGACTGGGCTTCAAAAACTATTTGATCTTTTGAAGCCACAATTTTTTGATAGTTTTGTTGCTGCCACAAAAGTTATTAGTGGCTACGATCCAGAAACGGGTTCTTTCAAGACATCCAGTTTACCTCTGCACATGGGAACTTCTCTTAAGCAAGTTTGTGATGTAGCCGCCGAAATGGTAATACAAAAAAGCCCTTTTTTTCCTTGCGCAAAACCTGATGAAACTCTAAAGGAAATTAAAGTGTTAAAAAAATTAATAGAGACCAGTTGGCATTGTAAAATTACCAGCCTGGTATCAAAAAATCCTAATGGCAGGAAATATCAGAAAACAAAACTACCCCTCACAGACTCAGAAAGTCCAGATGACCATGGAATGGAAGAACTAAAAGACTCATCAATAAGCCAAAATCTTATTTCCATTAATGGTATGTAAAAATATTTTTTCTTACTACCTCGACTGAAAATACGTTGTTTCGTCCCCGATTCCACGGCAGAAAGTTTACGTTTGATGCATTGGTCAAGCTATACGTATTTTCTTACTACCTCGGCTGAAAATACGTTGTTTAAACGAATTCGTCCCCGATTCCACCTCCACCGCCCTCTATAATATCGCTCGTGCCGCAAATGTCGGGGCAGGCATCAATATGTTTCGATATACACATTTAATTTTTTCCCGTATTTTCGGCCGGGTAGCAAGAAAAATAGTATACACTACACGGGCAGAAAGTGTGAGAGCCCTGAACTGCGCGCAGTGCAGGAATCTCACACTTTCTGCCCTTGTAGTGTAATATACTATTCTCTACGACTACTTAAGAATAAACATTCTAGTGTAATTTTTGATCATAGAAAGGATGTTTTTCTGCAATACTGTGCGAGAATATTCCTACTCTTGTTTAAGAATGGCACATACTTCCACACATATACCGCTTATTGCCTGTATTTTGTATAGATGACCTTGTTCCCGTTTCTAAGGGGAAATTTGTTCTCATAGTGTGCCATTTTCCTTTATGCGCATAGTCAGTTCATAAGTGGGGGATTTAAAATATATGATACCATAGACATGACATATGTTATATAACATTAGATAGAGAAATTATTACGTCCATTTATGATACGAATTGTCAACTAAATTTTTCTTAATTATTTGGTTCCATAGCCTGGGTTAAGCTTACAAACATTTTTGTGATTTGGCTTTATAAAAAGCAAAAAGTGGCATAATATGCATATTATGTAAAATCCACCAAAATCTCGTTAAAACAATGGAAAAAAACAATGCCAAAACAATTCGTATACAACAGAAAACAAACAAAATTGATAATTATAATAACCATCTACATATTTATATGTCTACCATAAAAATCTTTTGGCTATGATACGATAATCGTGATTAAAATACGATGTTGCCAAATTTTTGCTTTTATAAAAATGCCATTATAAAATCTAAAATATCATCATTTTGTGAGTTTATTATTGTTAAATGCTTTTTTCATACAATTTATATCCAATTTATTAAAAAGTATTTATTATACTTCTTGAATAGGGACAAAAATATGTTATTTTTATTATTTATTTTATCAATGCCCGCTACCCTGTGAGAACATTTCCCCTACTTTACCCCCACGAAATGGAAACAGTCTCAGTTAGAAACACAGAACATAAGGTTAGAAATGATTTGTATATGTGTGGAAGTATGTGAAGAATGGTCACAAGTAACGACATCTCCTGGCTGTTTACTAAACGTAAAAAATTTAAAAATATTTAAATATTACTGTATTATTTATTAATTAAAAAATAATAGCAGTTGTATAATTAAGGTTTAGGCACAAAAAAATAGTTATATTTATTGTTTTTCAAATAATCAAATCAAAATTATAATAAATTTGATATTAAAATGATAAACCAGTTACCTACTATACCGGCTTTGAAGTTTTGACAGATTCAAAAAGTTTAAAAAAAGACCTTTAAAATGTAGAAAAAGAATAGATGTTGACATAGATTACTTGTAAAATTAGTTTTGTATTTGTTACAATGTTATTTTTTTTATTAGTTATTGTAAATAACTATTTTTAATTATAATAAAGATTTAGGCATACCATTTGTTTAAATTTATTATAATTTACATTATAAAATTGTGACGGCACAAAATGGTTTGACAATACAAAAAACTTAAATGTCAAAAATTGCTTGGTTTCTTTTCTCTGTTTAAAATTATATAAGCGTTACTATTCTTACGTAGTCGTAGAGAAATTAATGTCTAAAACACGTTTGGAATAGCATATTCCAAACTTGTTACAGGATGTACTATTAATATCACAATACAAAAATACAAAAGCAGTAAATAGTTTCTCAACGCCAATATTTGAAATGTTTATATGAACATTGTACTGACCTTTTAATTTCGCCGGCAGTAAACTAGATATGACTTAAATTCGGATTCGGACTCCAACGTAAAGTGCTCATAAAACCTTTTTTTAACTTTCACTGTGAAAAACTGTTGTTAATCCATTTTCAAGGGATACATTCCCCTATTGGTTTATAGATGGCGCTTTATACAAATATTTAATTTAATCATTTTTAGATAATAATACTTAAGTATTTGTTGTAAAGAAAGTATAGTATGCCACTCGTTTATAAACTGTTCTAGGCCCTAATTTAATTAAGCACTCGCTTGCAAGCTCGCTGGTGCCTAAATTAAATTCGTGACTAAAATGGCGTTTATCAAATTTATACATAATATACTTTAAAAAGTTAATTCTAAGAATACCACAAACAAAAATTTGATTGTCAAAAAAGCATAATCAATTATATTTAAATGTAGGTAGGTAGGTATTTAAAAGTTTGTTACAACTATTTTTGATTTTAGATTATTTGGAGGGTGATGTTAAGAAGAAAAACATAACAAGAGTAAGATGGGAAGATAAACAAAAAAAACTTATTAAAAGTCATTTTGAGAACCATATTAAAAATAAAAAAGCACCAAACAAAAAAGAAGCAGTAGAATTTATAGAAAAATTTAATGACATATTTCAAGATAGAAACTGGGTGACTGTAAAAGCTTTTGTTTATAATTGTTACAAATAATTGGTAAGTGGTATAAAATTATGTTTTTCTATTTATTGTATCACACAATGTCTCAAAGTCTTAAGCCCCTCCCCCCAAACATGTACCATGGTATTGCAGTAAATTTCCTCTGAGCTGATTTGTCATCTGACATGTTGAACAGTTCGAGTAATGAAAATTATGTACATGGTTTTTCCAATTTTATTTATACGTACAAAAAAAGTATTTTTTAGTACCTACTTAAGCACACTTTTAAATTTTTTTGGGACACTTAAAATAAAAAAGTTAAAGGGGGGCGACATTATATGGGTTAACCCTGTAATATATTGTCGCCCCCCTTTAACTTTTTTATTTTAAGTCTCCCAAAAAATTTAAAAGTGTGGTTATGTAGGAACTAAAAAATACTTTTTTTCTACGTATAAAGAAAATTGGAAAATTGATCAGTATACAGGGAAAAACAAAAAGTTTATTTTTTCTTCAATGGATTACTCTATATATGTATTTATTTTTCAATTCCTTGTAAAATTCTAAGCATATTTCATATAACATACATATACCTAAATTCAACAGTTTCTGAAATATTTAAATTATTTTTAAGATAATAATAAGTTGAAATATATTTATAGTTTGTCTTTCTCTGTCTGAGTAGGCAATCGAATCGAAAAATAAATTCATATATAGGGTGATCCATTGAAAAAAAATAAACTTTTTGTTTTTCCCTGTATATTAATCAATTTTTAATTTTTTTTAATACGTAGAAAATAAGTATTTTTTAGTACTTACATAACCACACCTTTAAGTTTTTTGGAACACTTAAAATAAAAAAGTTAAAGGGGGGCGACATTATAGGGGATCACCCTGTACCTATTTAAAAGTACCTAATTAAAATGAGTTACATATGGAAAGCCTCGGTTTTCTCAGTTGTTTATTTATTAATTAATTATTATATTTTTAACCCCTAAGTAGGGTTTTAAAATTTCCGGAAAAATTGAGCCGGCGGAAAAAAAACGGTAAAAATTTTGAAATTTTCAGAAAAGTTTCTTTTGCATTTTTTTTATTTTATTCATGGTAATACGATAAAATTCAAGTAAATTTTTCTGAAAATTTACAAATTTTTACGGATACTATCCGTACACTGATATAGAGAAAAAAGTGAATTTCCGACGCTGAATATAATCAAAAAAACATATTCGGTGGTGTATTAACATAAGTTTTATTTTATTTGACACTTCGATTTATAAAATTATAATTTTGTAATTTAACTTTATAAATCATTTATTATTTTGTAATTGGATATTTTCAATGGACTCCTTTTTGCAAAAAAGAACCAACCGACAGTATATTTAAAGTTTACGTTTATTTTCTTAAATCAATTTAATTTAATTCAATGTTAAGTTGTTGATTGCTAATTTTTTTTAAATGTGTATATTTTCCAAGGCCTGGGAGTTTTCCCGTTTTTTTTTCGACACTTTAAAACCCTACCCAAGGGTGATGGTTACCCCTACAATTTTTAAAGAAAAGAGGGGTCGAGTGACCTTATTTTGAAGGCCTTTTAAATCTCTACATTTTGGTGTATCAGTTTTTAAAGTAGGTTGGTTTCTTTTCGAAAATTTAAGAAAAACTTTGTTTTCATTTATTTTCATCTTAAATATAGATTTTGACACGCGCGGTTGTTTGCCAATTTTTATGTAATTGCGTTTAAATTTTAACACATTAAAATAGACTAAAATTGGACAAAAATTGGACAAAAATTGTTTGCGTAGCAGCACTTAAAACTTTAAAAAAATTCGCCAAAAAAAAGCGTGCAAAGGTTTTTTGTGATAAAAATATTATTCCTTAAGTGAAAATTTTCCTCTGAAAAAGTTTTAATAAGTAAAAAAAGAGTTTTGAAAGTCTTACTTTCTCTTAAAAACTCAGAACAAGACTTATAAAGTCGAAAAAACTCTGAATAAGTAGCCCAGTAAGCACAGCGTTGATTTCAATATTTGACCAATCTCATTGATTCAATAGAAGTGGTCAATCATTGGGCAATAATTGTATGGTCCATTATTTAGTTAACTGAAATTGTATGTGAAGTCCCAATCGTTGATCAATCATTGCTCAATTTTTAGCCCATTCGAATTGTTAATAATTGATCAATTAACCGGACGTGAAACCGGGCAATTATTGAACACTCCAATACGAACACGGTACTCTGGTTGATTGGCCAATGACTGGGCAATTATTAAATATTAACTACATTTGGACGGCTTTCTGCAGAATGGGACCAACCCACACCATGATGAAACTGAGAAAAAAGCTATCAAAGATTTTAATAATTTTAAAATTACCTGTTAATTTTATGCCGATTTTGGACTTACGGAGGTTTAAGGGATATAATTTAATAATTTCATCAGGTGGATTTTGTGATGTTATGTGTAAGGGTGACGAAAAAAATGGGCTTTTGTTGGTTGGTTCCTTTCTGCAATTTATGAAAACTACTATCTGATGTATGTATGTATTTAAAGAAAAGCGACAATTATTTATTTCCAAACAAAATACAACTGATATTACTATTTTAATGGTAATATGAATTAATTTTGATTCTATTTGAAATTCGTCCACATCATCTTCCAACCCCACCTCATCTTGTAAGCTACCAAAAAAATGCATCAAGACTTTATATTTTGCAGGAGCAGGAAATCTTTAAAGACTTTGGTAGTGGGTCTACCAGCCTGCTTTTTTACAAAAAAGATCCAACCCACTTGCAGATATTCTACAGATTCTAATTCTGGATTAGTAATCCACACTATTATTGAATGTTGGTTGGTTCAATGATTAATAGATTTCACTACACTTGCATTTTGGCTATGACCTATTTTGCAGATAAATTATACATACTTAATTAGTTCATAGGCTAAATATCTCGATTTTTTTGGTTTTGTGGGTTGGTTCCTTTCTGCAGAAAGGCGTCCATTTATAGCAAACATTACATATTACAGAAATATCTTTAATATCACCCAAAGAATTATCCCTAGGAATCCCTAAGGATGATTCTTTGGGTTATTTTAAGGATATTTCTGTAATAGGTACTATACATTTATTTTAATTTAGTAGATATTTAATAATTGCCCAGTCATTGTACAATCAACCGGAGTACCGTATTCGTATTGAAATAGCCCGCAATTACCCGGTTTCACGTTTCAGCTGATTTTTTTCAAAAGTAATAATTATTATAAGTGAACTATAAAGACGCATTGTAGAAATAAGACTTATTTCTACCATAACTAGACGTATAATGTCCAGTGTTTTGCTTGGCCGCATCATAAATTGAAAGTCGAAAATGCATGCGCAAGTAAATTGTACACGTGGCTCATATTCGTCGGTTATTTGTTAAAAGAAACGTGCGTTTGTCCTGTGTGTGTCTGTTAACAGAAAATTTTCATAGAGAATACAAAATTGGTAAGTATTATTCTAATATTATTAGAAACCAGCCGCAATGCTGCCAAAAAGTTATTTATAATGGAAACAAAGAAGGGGCAGTAAGACTTGAAAACACAACCTTTGAAGATGCAATTTATGGTAAATTTACATACATAGGTAAATTTTTTAATCGAGTTCTAAATATTTCTATGTTATAGCTTCTCTTGGTGGACGAAAAAGGTTTGACCTTCCAGAAGGAGACGAATTTAAAGATGTCGTCACAAAAGCCCTAACAAAGAATTAGGAATTCAAAACATAGATCTCGAGTTTGATTGGGATCACTTCTTGCCGGGCCGCCATTTAAGAAAGTTTGTTGTTTTTTTTTTCATGTACATGCCCATGCAATAATTGTAATTAATTTATTAGAGAATAAAAGTGTTGAGTCAAGTCATGTCAACTGTGACACAAATATTTATGAAAATTTGTAATGTTAAAATATTGAGATAGGTATAGGGTATACCCTGTTTACAAAAAAATCTAAACATTTAAACAGTGAATAATATTATACAGGGTGGTCCAGAACTCGTGCCCCACCAGGAAAGGGCTAATGGTAACGACAATAGAGATGCCAAAACTGGTATAAATAAAGAGGTTTAATATTGACCAATCCCAGTGGTAGTCAAATATACAAAATGATGTGAACAAGTCTTAACATTTTACCAAGTTTGCATATGTCAATAAAACTGAAAAGCTTTGTCAAACGAAAAGTTGTAAAACTTCTATTCGTTTTTGACAAAGCTTGTGAGTACTAGTAAACTAATAAATAAATACACTTTAACGTGTCAAAATGTTAAGGCTTGGACATATATATCATTTTTGTATATTTGACACCACCCTGAGATTTTTCAATTTCAAACCTCTTTATTTATCAAACAAAGCAGTTTTGACATCTCCATTGTCATTACTAGTTCTGGACGACCCTGTATCCATAGTTTAAATTTTTGATTTTTTTGTATAGTTTTTTTAACATTACAAATAGGTATTCAGGATTAGTTAGTATCACAGTTGAAATGGATTGACTTTTTTGTAAAATATCCTTTTTTATTTTAAATATACCTTTCAATTAAAAAAAACAGGCCAAGTTCGCCAATTATTGCCCAATGCACAAATTGAATTTTACAGAAATGGGCAATTATTGACCATTCATTGATTTCTATATGATTGGTCAATAATTGCCCGTAAAGCGGACGTATCTGTGCCCAATAATTGCCCATTTTGAAATGGACAATTTTTGGGCAATTATTGGGAAGTTTGTGCTTATTGGGAGTAGACTAAAATCAAGATTTGGGAGACTTCTGGAAGAGTTATTCTGACTTAATAAGACTTTAAGCAGAGAAATGGTATATACCTATAGCAATAAAAATAAATATCCGAAATTATTCAGATGTGCAACATTTGAGTTCTGAGTTTTTCCGACCTAAATAAGTCTTATTCTGAGATTTTGGAGATTTACAAAACTCCTACTTTTACTTATTAAAACTTTTTCCGAGATAAATTTCCACAAGGGTAGTAACGAATAAGCAATAAGTAGTAACATAACAGAAGTTATAAGTGTGGAT